TAAGGGCATAAAAATACAACGATTGCGCTGGCTTAGACATGTTGTACGCAAGGATGACAACTGGCGAAGCTTTTTGGTATCGGCCCAAACCGACAAACGGATGTAGTGCAGAATAAGAAGAAAAAGATCTGGATGAGTGTAATATAAAAGAATGTGGGTAACGAACACGTGAGCAAAATACTAAAAGGACGAATACCGCACATAAAAAACTGATTACCGCAAACTTTATGAAGAAAATTCTAAAATTCACTTTACATTTCCTAAAATCCAATTGACGTTTTCTAAAATCCAATTGACTATTCTAAAATTAAGTTGACGCTTTCTAAAATCCAGTTGAGTATTCTAAAATCTAATTTACGCTTTCTAACATTCAGTTGACTATTCTAAAATCCAATTAACGATTTCTAAAATTCAATTGATTATTCTAAAATCCAATTTATACTTTCTAACATCCAATTGACCTTTTCTAAAGTCCAACTGGAAATGGTGTAGTTATTTTGGAAATTTCAATTCAAAAAGTCAATCGGATAGAATTTGTCTTTTAATCATTTGTATATAGAATGTGATGCTTGTTAGCCAAGGAATTTTAATCCTACATGATTTAAATTTTCTTTACTTTTTTCAAAAAAGTCAGCAATTAACCGTTATTTTTTAACTCATAATTTTTCTATCAAAAATAACAGTTAAATCTTAGCTTTTATTTTTCAGTTCAAAATAAAAATTAAAATTTGACTTATTTTTTTGGTTAAAAATAGCAGTTTATATAGTGACAATACCATATGTTTTAATTGAAAAAAATATCAAAGTAAAAAATGCACATCCTTTTAATTACAGTTTTCCATCTTCTTCAAATATATTTCCTAGATAAACATTAAATTTTCTTTAATTTAAGCCATTCGCCTTACATTTCTCATAAAAAAATTTCTGCGCATTTTCATTCGACCACTCATTACTTATCGATTTTCTTCATTAGTAAATTGTTTTGTTTGTAAAAGAACAGGCTTTAGCACAACTGCAAGAATTTGGCACAAAACCTGGGCATAAATCACGTATGACGACATTCGTCTGGACGATATCGTGTCGAGATTGTCTTGTTTCATGAAAACCAAAAATTGTTCGATCGTTTGTGCGATATCGTCCACTCAATTCCAGTTTTGCTTCACGTAGCAGTAACGTAGCACGTAACAGCAAAACAAATGCATGAATCAGTGTTTTGTCAGTATCGTTTGAACGACAATCTTTTCAAAGTACGTGATTCATGCCCTTTTAGTTTTTTTCTCCTGTTAAAATTTGATTTTTTTTATTATTTTCACAAAAAACATCTGGAATGATTAATTAATTTGTCAGAAACTATCAGACTTATTGAAATGTATATACGGTCACATGATTCAATAATGAAAGGTTTTGTAAGTAAAACTTTCTCTCGCTCTAATTTTATCAATGACACTCCCACCCTACTCCTAAAAACAAAAACAGTGATATTTCTTTTCCAAATATCTTTGCAAGTTTTAAGAACATTTTTAAATTGTTAGTAGTGAAATTTTTACTTTTTAAATTTGAAGAAATGTTTGTTCTTCATTCGCTGGCGCCAACAAGACAAAATGGGTGAGCATCGTTGGACTACAGAAATTCAATGTAGGCTAAAGAGACGAAATTCCCTTAATTGCCGAAATGTATTTGTCAATATTCGTGGAGACCTCTTGATTCTGCCAAGTCGCTGTAAAGTAAAGCATGCAATGGTTTTGGTAAATGAGCCAACGAAGGTATTTAGGTATTGTCCTCCACAACACAATTCTGGTGTATCCGAATGAGGCTTTGACGCAATATAACATTGCCAAACCGCATCCATAGACCCAATCGTCACACGACAGCTCGGTTTAGTCAATGGCGTGATGTATGTAATTGCACACTTAAAAGGTTTACGCACGAGGCGAATGTTGGCTGGCGACCAACTTTGTTGAAAGCGATTAGTTGAAAGTAGAATGCAAAGTTGAGCAATGCAAACGCCTTTTTATGGCGAATATTTTTATATTTTTTTATATTTTGATATTTTTAATCATTAAAATTTTTTTTCGGGCAACCCGGCGATTGGTTAATATTCTGACAGTTGTATAATCTCCCCAGGACATTAAAAGTGCGACATCAAAGAATTCGAATTACCATATTCGAAATAATCGAGCCATAACCGCGAAGGAAACGTAAGCTCCAAATTTTTTTATTTGCCGTTTTTTTTTTGCACTTGCACCCATTATCAACAGAATGCTTACAGTGAAAATTACAAAGATCGGGTCACTATAACCTATAGCTCCCATATAACTGATTGTTCAGATATAAAATTTTTCGTTATAACTCCTCCATTTATATAGCTGGGAACAGGAAATTCCGCACTGTTTTCAATAATTATCAACAGAAAACTTACAGTGAAAATTAAAAAGATCGGATAACTATAACCTATAGCTCCCATACAACTGATTGTTCAGATATGAGCTTTTTCGTTATAATTCATCCATTTATGTAGCTAGGACCATGAAATTTCGCGCTGTTTTCACTCATTATCAGCAGAAGACTTACAGTGAAAATAACGAAGATCGGGTCACTATAACCTGCAGCCCCCATACAACTGATTGTTCAGATATGAGGTCTTTTATCATATCTCCTCCATTTATGCAGCTAGGAACATGAAATTTCGCACCCTTTTCACTCATTATTAACGGAATACTTACAGTGAAAATAACAAGGATCGGATGACTACAACATATATCTTCCATACATCTGATTGTTCAGATATGGGATTTTACTGTAAAACTCCTTTATTTGAACAGCTAAAACCGATAAATTTCGTAAGATATTTTATAAATAATAATACAAAGTCTACTGAGAAAATCGTCAAAATCTATGCTGTATAAGCTTTATCTCCTATAGCACTGATTGTTCAGATACTAGTTTTTGCGATATATCTCCTTTATGTAGGAAACTAAACCCAATAAATTGTGTTACCGGTTTACATACCGATCACATAGCAGTGAAAATCACTTAGATTGGTGCCATATAAAGTATATCTTCCATACCTC